TGTCAGGTCTCTCTTACCTGCAGCCTGTTCTGCTTCACTTGCCAGTGTTTCGTAGAAGTGTCTTTTGTCTTTGCGTGCACTCTTCTTCACTTCTTTGTCCAGTGTTTTAAACATTGTGCTCAGTTCCTCTTCTTGTTGTGCATCCTTGCACTGGTTTATCTTCTGCTTCACCATCCTCCTCTCACTCCTCTATCAGCTTCCATGTATTCATCGAGATCCATTCTTTGTCTTCTTTCTTCTTCCTTCCTAATACGGCTGTGCAGGTTTCTTTCCATATCTCTTTCAAAGACTTCCAGTGTTCTTCCACACAGGTTTCTTCAGGGATGTTCCTCGATATCTCCCATTTTGTCTTGATGGCTGGCTGCTGTGAAGATATCCTTAGTAGTTTCATCCTTCAGTTTCCGAGTGTTGTACTTGAACTGTGGTCTATCACCAGCTTCCTTGAAGGCTTTTAACCTGATTTGGAAGGTGGGTTCCTTGCACTAGATAGTGAGTGGTGTGAACCTACATCTGCTCCTCTTCTTGACCTTGTGTCAAGTAGGCTGACTGCGTCTCCATTTTCTTGAGATTGAGATGAAGTTGATTTGATTTTTAATGTGTCCTGGTGTCTGGTGAAATTGAATCCATGTCGCTTTGTGGATATCCTTGTGCTTGAACACACTGCCTGACTCCAATCACCAAATCGTTGAATGCACAGAATTCTGCAAACAATTCTCCATTGTCGTTCATCACCTCACTGAGCGCTTCTCGACCCATGGTTAGTTCTCTTCCTGTGTTGTCCCCTCCCAGTTTGGCATTCATGTCACCCTGCCCATTAGAATGAGTTTTGATATCGCCAACTGGAGTGGTTTCTTGTCCAGTGTTGATTGCAGTTGTCTGTAGAATTCCTCCTTTTTCTCTTGCTCTGCATTATTTGTAGGTGCATAGCGTAGCATTGTATGATTGTGACCTTCCTTCCTTTTGAGTTGAACCTTGCTGTCATGATCCTGATCGTTGAGGAGATTGGTTCCCACTGGATGAGAGAGAGCCTTCGATGCTCTTCAAGGGGACATCATGATAGCCACTCGGAAACTCAGTGTGCTGTGCTTGTGGTTGTCGTCTGGGTGACAATATCGGAGTAGATTATTGATTCTCCAGTTGACAGTTTGGAGAGTCCACTCCCATTCCATCTGCTTTGGCAAATTCCAAGCACTTCAATGTGATACCTCTTCATCTCGTTTGCAATCTGGACTGCCTTGCTAGGTTCAAACATGGTGCGGACATTCCATCCATGTCCCCACGTTTACTTTCGCTTTCATCGAGGGAGAGAAGACACATCGGCCCGGTCAATTGGCTTCCCGAAGGCTTTCACCAACTGGCGTCATTTCGCCTCTCCGATTCCAGAGAGGAATAATTCTGTTATTATTTTTTATGTATCGTTTGTGCTTTGAAGTTTCTTTAGCGGTTAGATTTGTTTTACGGGGTAGGGTTGCTAGCCGTATGCCCAACCTTCCCTCTTTACCCGGGCTTAGGACCGGCTAGTAACTAGTGAACTAGTTAACCAGGCGAGGTTATTTAATATATGCTTTAGCTATTTCGATGATGTGTAGTGTGTAGGTGAAATTGAAATGTTCCAAGATATAGCTCTATATTTGTGATGTCTTCATATGACCTGGTGTCACAAAGTAACGGTCCAAGTTGCCACATTTCATTTCAAGTTATAGGGCAAAAAAATAGGACAAAGACATGTAATACTATCAGCAGTCAAAAGAAATCACAAGACAAAGAAAGAATGTATGATCAGGATTTTGATATAAAAGAATCATCGTTGATGTATTCTGGGTCATATCTCTTTGGATCTCAAGTCATTAGTTTTGGTTGTCCCACGGACGCCAACCTATAAGTTTGCATTTCCTGATACGTTTAGGATCGGCGGTCATAGATCTCATAAAGTGCCACATATCTGACTGTTCAAACCATTTCAGATAAAATAGCCTGTTTGTAGTCAACCGTAGTTCAGTGTACGTAAGTATTTTCCCAACCTAACATTCTACGCCTGAAGTCAGCATTCTCTACAACCTAGCCTGGCGACATGCTAAAGACTTCACAAAGACAACGGTGGAGTAAATATGAGATTCTCTTGCTCTCTGTTTTAAATAATCATGTTTTATAAGCCAATAATATGTCAAAGAAAAATGGTACTCTGTACACATAAGCATCTAATGAAGTATTTTAAATTTTATTCAGAACAAAACCTTGGTATCATAAATGCGATAAGAGATGATCTATACAAAAAAAATAAAGCGACGTAAAACAATGCAGAAAACAGAAGGGAGGATGGCAATGAAGACAAGTAGGATAACAAAGAAGCAGTCTCGAAGATACATTCAGGGAAGTATTTACTAGGGTTATACTTTTCTGTGATAGAAGAAACAAGAAAGCTACAGCATGATTACCACTGATTTCCACTCCAAGCTGTTTGCTATCGTCTCAAGTCACTGAGTTGCGTAGTCTCTCCGACCCTATCCCGCAGGTTGGGAAGCAAGCATGGATACCAACCTAACACAATAATCGTCCGTCACAGAGCACCACGTGGTACATTGATCACCTCTCCGCTCCTTTCAACTAGTCTAAAGATATATAGACAGCAAACGGTTCGTGGTGTTGGGATGACATTCGTAGCACATGTTCAAGCCATTGAAGTTGATGTCTGAAGATAACCTCAACTCAACGGATGACGATCTCCATCATGCCCGAACACGCTTTGCCTCACCCCACCCCAGAATTATTTACACTGTTTCCACGGGATGGCAGCAACCCTATGACCAGATACAGTTGTCTGACATCTTCAGATCGGAAAGGCTATGTTGCAGGTGCAGAGCATAACTGCTCTCACTAGTGAGTTGTATACCTGGTTTTTTAAGGCAAGGCTAACGTCACGCGGCACCAGAGATGACTCAGATTTACGTGAGCAACTCTGGTTTGGGCATACGGTTGGAAATCTGTTCAGTCATACCTCTACCAGCACTCACACAACTACCAAGGTGCACAAACGTTTCGACAGCTTCCAACAGTTCACCACCAAAGATAAATACAGGTACGAGCTCATACCAATCTTTTAGAAGCACTTTGCACTTCGATGGTGTCGAGCACATACCATCCTCATGGACACTGGTCGCTAACCGATTGAGTAGGCTGTTGTTGAACAGTAAAATGATATCGTCTGCCTGCTCGAAGTTGAAAAGTCTTTCACCTGGTAACTGGTTTACACCACAACCACACACCTTCAGGCTATCTCAAGAACATTCATGCCAAAGTTAAATAGGAACTACGAGGAAGAGATCAGTTTTGCCTAACTTCACTAGTTTAGAACACTGAAGATAAGTAGCTATATATTTTGATCTTATTTTTTGCCTGAGGGGTTGAAGTGCAGGATATCAAAAATCTGTTGGTTGATCGTCGATAGGTTTTCGGATAATTCTCCAGTCCCACAAGTACTGCATTCCGGTGAAAGTTAGTTGAATTTATCGCATCTGTGTCAAGATTTCGTCGGTCACTAACCCACTGAAGGCTTGTGAAGACTCCCCAGATGAGTGGAGTAGTCAACGCTCTCAACTGCTTCACCCTGGTACTTCCAATCGTTGTGTCGAAGTAGACTAATCATAAAGCAACAATTTGGTTTAGCAAGTGAAACTCATACAAAGCATTCTCAAATTATTCCTCTATATATGTTAAAAAGACTACATGCTGTCACCATAATCGCCTATTCGGACAATGTTGTCTACCTACTGGAGGTCAGTCAAGCAGTCTGCTAGGAGAATATTCCATGTGAAATTAAACTAGGATGGAGGTCTGCGTACGAAGGTGTTTGATAAATTAAACCAGAGGTGAAAAGACTGTGAATTCAGGTAAATGCTTTGTCAGGTGACTCATCATTTGATAGCATATGTATTGTGATATACTTACTGGGCTCCTCCTAGAGAAAATGAAATTGGCATATGACCTTCCGATCAGTAGGGTGAAATCCGTCTGTCAGGTTAAGAAATACGCTTCATGTCTGTTGCTGGTAAGTAGGTCTGTGTTTCATAGTTCGATGGGTAGTGGAATCCTGGTCAATGCGACTACATCCAGGTCCAAAACTGGGACAGTTTACTAATGATCATTGCTTATGAACTCGTGTTTGCCGTCGAGTGATCAGAGTACTTTGAATCTCAGAAAGTACTGTGGGTCAACCTTAGACCACTAGTTATCTTAAGATGTTTCCCGTTTCTTTGATTTCCAGCTTGATGAGAAGTAAAGAAGTCATGAACTGTTTAAAATTTTGTCATGTCTAGAAACAAAGTCATCTTTGTAGCATTGTAATGACTTGTGCTTTGCGACTGAAATAACTGTATAGCTTCGGTCAAACTGATTTTACATAGTGTTGGGTTGTGGTGCATGATTGAGGAGACGAATTGGCGGAAATTTTGTGCTGTAGGATTAGTATTTGCGGTGAAGTGTATTGCTGTTGACTGTGTTTATGAGAGAGTTTTTTCACTGTGTTACGTTTTGGCTAGTATCATAGTCCTTGGAGATAGATAATGAAGTCTGGTGGTGATCGATTATCTGTACCTTTACTGTGGTGACTGTTAATTTTCTGTTTTGATTATGTCGCGTAGCTTATAGCGTCCTAGTAGTTAGTTGAATTTAGTTGGTTCATGCAGAATTGGTGATGGAAGTCGCTGAGTATGGTTTCCTTATGTTTATAGAATCTAGCTTTGCTTGACTTACAAGTACGCCCGTATTAATTGACAAAGATTATGAAATGTCAGCATTTTATCAGCTGTGTGGTTAATTCTAAAGTTTAATATTGCGTTATCTTGCATTTGCAATTGACATTGTGGATAATACGAGTCAGGCTTTGTAATTTCAACTACAATAGAAGTTTAGGTATGGTAAAGCAATAGTTATTCATACCAAATTTAAATGACGAAGACAATTTTTGTTTATTCCTAATCCCGGTATTATTTCTTCTCTTGTAGGTAACTCGTAGCGAACAGCAGTCTGACCAGCGATCTCATCGACCTAAGAGGGCCTTGTCAAAATCTAACGATGTAAGTTTGAAACTTCTTGGCAGTTGAATTACAGTACTCGGATATCTTCGGATAATCCGACTAGGTACTTATGCTAATGTTTTCGTATCACTAATATGCTTTGATTTGTATCTAAGTTAGTCAGTCACTTCGCACTAGTTATCTGCCGTGGTAAGAAGTGAACAATTTGTAATGCCAAACTAATTTTGCTCTTCTCGTAATTTTTTGTCATATTTCCTTGTTTGCTTACTGAAATGATCAAGATATGATTCACTTGGCTTTCACTACGAACCTGCCTTCCTCTGGTATGTGTGGTATATCCACGTTAGTTTTTTGAGCAGTATTTCATTTCGTCTGAACCTCTCAGAAGTGCATGGATATATTTTTAATGCATTATGCTCTCCCAGAGCATGTAACTGAAGTCTTCATAGATGGCATGTAAAAATGGTATTTAACCTTTTTTGATGGTTTCGTGTTCTCTGAGGTGGATGATTTAGTCGTGGAGCTTTCATTGTCGTTCTAGACTTCATCACAAACTTCAGAAAGTTGTCTAGAATGACAATGAAAGTTCGACGATTAAACCATCTAGCTCAGAGAACACTACACCATCAAAATCATCCTCCTGAGCTACAAATATTCTCCATCATGGTACCTAACTGTAAAACAACTTTTGCTATTTCCGTCAGAAATTATGCGTCAATGGCAAATATTTGACTGGCGTACATGCACATTATGAACGTAGAACTTGGCATTACTACATAATGGTTAGTTTTTCCGAATCTCACATCAGGACATCAAGGGTAACAATGCGGAAGATAAAAACTGAAATGGTGCTGTGGAAATTGGTTAGACAAGAAAGTAAATCAATCAGGAAGAGATATATGATATCAGAATGATCATTGGCATAAAGTAGTTATCTATAAAATATACTTTATTGATTTGACGGTTCGGCTACTTCCCAATCATATGTAATTCATATGACACAATCTAAAACATTTTCAAATAGATCGCACTCAAATAAAAATTCATGTTCGTTCTTACGAATGTGCTTTTACATCCCTTTTTCACTGAGAAAAAATATCTACGGAAACGGTAGAGCACTTTCAAGATCATGTTTAACAGTTGTGCATATATTTATTTCCTTAATTTTTGGAATTATATTTAAATCTGCATGCCAGTCAGCATTCTCATTGGGCTCATTGTCAAAGGCAGTGGGTAGCAATTGACTTGGGACGGTGCGAATTAATAAGTCCACTGTTATTCGAACTGCTTATTGACGGGATGCTGACGGGTGCTGACTCCTTCCAAATTACGCGTCATTTACTTGTCTGAGTTTTATTAGAACATTTCACTTGCTTTACTATTCTACTGTTAGCTTTTGTGGACATTTTGTAGTAAGTAAGAACACTTTCCGGGTCAAGACAGCGATTGTATGTATGTATGTACTACACAGGGGTGGTTTTAATTTTGAAGCAGTGTCTAATAAATTACCAGTTTAATACTCTATTGGCTCGAAAATGAAGCGCATCTGTTGATTCAGTTTAGATTTTACTTTAATCATCGAGTATTTTCAATGCTAAGCTTTGATGAAATCTGTACTAAGGAGTTCAAAATCGTTCCAGTGTATGCGAACCTTTGGTTTGCAGTGCTAACAAATATCAACTAAAATCTTTTTGCGATTAGTAAAAATCTATTTTTCTCTGCAAATATCGGTCATTACTTGATTCACTAGTAGACTGTATATGGGAAGAATATCACGGGTTTGTACGTATATGCTTGAAGTTATTGGTAAATTATTGAAATCTTTACTTTTTCAAACATATCTGGAGTAAATTTCCTCCACTATTTCTAGGACAATATTTTAGGTATTTCATGGAAAGAAGAACAAGAATTACGCAAGGCTATGTATGTTTCTCTGAGAGATCAACAGCCGAATTCTGATTCCAGCCCATGCGACCGCCTTAGTTCGTTGCGTTCCGGACTGGCCAACCAATCACGTATCGCGGCATCTAATAAGTTGAAGTCAGATGTATTGAAATCGCGTTCGGTCATTCAGTTTAAACATGTCAGAAAACAAAGTCGTTCAAGGCTAGTAGCTGAAAATAACACTTTTTCGGAAACTTCTTGTGACAAAGAAAGATCTATTAAAAAAGATGCAGTGAAATGCGGTTCAGCTCAAAGTAGTAAACCTAGTGTAAGTTTATTTTGTAATGTTATGGTTTTTCTTAACTGTTCATAATTTAATCCTTATCTTTACTCTCACTTGCTTTTCCTATTATATGAGCACAGGACTCATACGATTGTTCATTCATCAGCAATTTTTTCATATCGAAATCTTTTGTAAACAAATTTTGCTACCACGTTGTCTTTGTAGAATTAGTGTCTCGTCACTGCTGATTTGACAGCAACTAGTTGGTTGTGTCATTGGATAAGTTATACTGTTAATTCCAGGTGGCAGCACTTATTAACTCTATACCCCTTACATTATGCCCGAATTCTCCAAATAAGATTGCTCCAAATCATCGTACAGCTAACCCATCAGTTTCTTCTTCATCTGGCTTGGCCATGGTTTGTAATTCGACATCATAGTACTACAGAATTCAAAAACGATATATACTTTCATCAACACAGTGGCCTCTTGCATGTCTTGTTGAATAAAGTTAAATTTATGCATAATTGGCGATCAACCAGACAAATCCACATAGGAACTGCAGCAAAGCGCATCGGTTCAAGTTGTCACGTTTCAGAGCAGTACGCCTGAAAGAAGTGGAGGAAAAGTGATATTTTGGTGGATATATCTATGAGAAGCGAAAGAATAAATGGGCAAAGGTCAGCAAAATAGTCAAAATTATGAAGATGGCAAAGAATGTCTGCATTTGCGCCATTGTGATCGATTTCGGGACATCACAACCATTTCCCAACCATTGATCTATATTACTTTGAGGACCCAAACCAGACAGCCTTGTCTCTGTGCAAGCTTAAAAACAACTTTCAGAGGCTTATGTGACAGCTTACTCTTGTCACCCTTAGCCTTCTTCCATCCTCGTCGTACTTCAGCTAACATCACGCGTCGAGGCACGCAGTGCCTCACTATGTGAAGTGTGCTCAAAGACACCTCAGTCTATTAAGGTTCACAATGTCACCGACTGACTTGCCTTCCTTGCCTAAAACCCTTCACCTAATCTCGACATTGTTTACACGGTGATTTCACCATCTGTGAACATTTCCAACGCGGTAACCATGAAGGAAAACCTGCAACCGTTGCATACATTGTACTTTCAACGGGCCCATTTCACAGCCACATAATCGGACAGAACGAACTGTTGCACATTATTCTCGTCCGTTACCAGGTAGTTTTATGTTTCAAAGACACTTAAAGTGGTGTAACAACTTACAACTTGGCAAATACCAAGCAGGTTTTCTGTATCCGAGTAAAGACTGACAGAAATCAGCTCACTCGAGGTGATGCAACTCCACAAACAAGCAAAGTAGTTAACTCATCCCACCACTTCCCTGCTTATCTTTAAACTCCCCGACCGATAGCTGTTACCTATTCGCGGTGGCTGGGCTTCCATATCACCATGACCCAACAAACTACACAGGCTGAAACGCTTCTTCCTTCGAGGTCTTACCATGCCAGCAAGGTTTGTTCGATAGTAGTACGACAAAACGCGGTTACCATCACCGTTGTGGTGTAAATTGCTACGCTTTAATGGGTGTCAGGAGGGAATTCTTATTGCTGGTTGAACTGAGTAAGATAGCGGTATAGCGTTTCCGGTGGATGAGTAGCAGTACCATACTAATGCTGTCTTCACAATGAGAAGGGACTGTAAGAAAAGGCCGGCTCTAGAAATAACACACTTCTACTGACTTCAGAATGTTTTCTTTTGTCAGGCATTAGTATAATCAAATGCCGAAACAGCGATACACAAAAACGTGTGTTTAGCAGGCCTCAAACAAATGTCCCATGAACTGTGCGGTCACACAACTATTTTTCGCTTTCGTTTATTCCGCAGAAACAAATTCGATGGTGTGGGGATCCGGGAAGTACCAATCGCCTGCGTACTTCCATTAGCATACAGAACAAAATCAAATATAACCTACTTTCCTTACTTTCGTTTCGTTCTTTGTCTTAACTTCCTGACACCAATATTAAGCCTCTTACAACTTCCCGAATCTCTCACCCAATGACTGTTCTTAACGACTCAAGCCAACGAAACATCAGTCCTAGTCCCCTCTGTTTATTTCACATTGTTTTCGAATTCTGAATCGTATGCGAACTCGAACAACACGCATCACTCACCAGAGCTTTGAAATCTCAAGGCGTGGGCATGCAATTTGCTTCTGAAACACGTGTAAAGAACCAAAGTATGGGTATTCACTTGACATCAACTAGTTAATACGATGAATCTTCAAAATTCGCTTAACAGGTATCTGGGTATTCCCGCAAAAAGACGCTACATTGACGCGATGGTCGAACTTGCATATCACGATAACCTAACAAACTCCACTGGATAGAACTCTTTTTCTCTCGAGGTCTTGCTATGTCAGAAAGGTCTGTTGGATATCTTTTATTATTTCATTATTTGTCCTTTGGGTTTCTAGTGGAACCCGTCTGTTTCCAGTGCTTCTGGAGGAATTCCAACTGGTCCTACTGCTTTCTCGGCTTTCAGCAACTTTATAGCGTTCAGGACTTTTGCTTTTCTCGGAGGGCTTGAGTTCACTGATAGTTCTGTGGCTGGGCTACTGGTGGTATTTCTGACCGAGTTTCAGGTGGTGGTGGTGGTGGTCGAATCAAAGGTTTTTTGAAGAGGTCAGTCCATCGTTTCATTTGTTTCTCCTCTTTGGTAACTAAGTTTCCTTCACTATCTTTCATTGGTTTCATCTATGTTGATCTCTCCCCTCTCAGTTAGTAACCTGGTTATTTGATATAATGTTATCAGGTCTCGCCTACCTGCAGCCTGTTCTGCTTCACCCTCCAATGTGTCGTAGAAGCGTCTTTTGTCTTTGCGTTCATTCTTCTTCACTTCTTTGTCCAATGTTTTATAGGTCGTGTTCAGTTCCTCTTTTCATTTTTCATCCCTGCACTGTACTGCACTGGTTTATCTTCTGCTCCACCATTCTTCCTCTCTCTGTTCTATCAGCTTCCATGTGTCCGTCGAGATCCATTCCTTGTCTTCTTCCTTCTTCCTTCCTAACACGGTTATGCAGGTTTCCTTCCACGTCGCTTTCACAGAGTTCCAGTGTCCTTCCACTCAGGTTTCCTCGAGGACGTTATTCAATATCTCACATTTTGTCCTAATGATTGACATGAAGACGTCCTTAAGTTTCTGTTCTGGGTGTTGAACTTGAACTGTGGTCTATCACCAGCTTGTTTGAAGACTTTCAACTTGATTTGGAGGGTGGGTTCCTTGCACTAGATAGTGAGTAGTGTGAACCTACATCTGCTCCCCTTCTTCATATGATCTTGTGTCCAGTTGGCTGGCTGCGTCTCCACTTCACATTGAGATGAAGTCGATCTGATTTTTAGTGTGTCCTGGTGTCTGGTGAAATCCATTTCGCTTTGTGAATATCCTTGTGTCTGCACACATTGCCTCCAATCCCCAAATCGTTGAATGCTCAGAAGTCTGCAAACGGTTCTCCATTCTCGTTCATTTCACCAAGTGCTTATCGACCCTTCTCTTCCTGTGTTGTCTGCTCCCACTTTGGCATTCATGTCACCCCACCCATTAGAATTTTGATGTCGCCAACTGAGGCGGGGTCTTCTCCAGTACTGATTGCAGTTGTCTATGGAATTCCTCCTCCTTCTCTTGGTCTGCATTATTTGTAGGTGCATAGCATAGCATTGTATGATTATGACTTTCCTTCCTTTTGAGTTGAATCTTGCTGTCATGATCCTGATCGTTGAGGAGATTGGTTCCCACTGGATGAGAGAGAGCCTTCGATGCTCTTCAAGGGGACATCATGACAGCCACTCGGAAACTCAGTGTGCTGTGCTTGTGGTTGTCGTCTGGGTGACAATATCGGAATAGATTATTGACTCTCCAGTTAAGAGTTTGAAGGGTCCACTTATATTCCATTTCCATGTCATACCTCTTCATCTCGTTTGCAATCTGGGCAGCCTTGCTAGGTTCATACATGGTGCGGACATTCCATGTCTCCATTCTTACTTTCACTTTCATCGAGAGAATACACATTGGCCAATTGGCTTCCCGAAGGCTTTTACCAACCGACGTCATTTCGTCTCCCCGATTCCAGCGAGAAATAAGTTTTTTTTTTTATTCTTTATGTATTTTTTTCTTTGAAGTTTGTTTAGCAATTGGATTGGTTTTCCGGGGTAGGGTTGCTAACCGTATGTCCAACCTTCCGTCATTATCCGGGCTTAGGTCTGGTTAGTGAACTAGTCAACTAGGCTATGTCCTGTTGGATATTGGTAAGACGAAAAGGAGTTACCTTTGTAGTGTAAATTGCCACATTATGAAAGGGATCCGCGTGCGAAGCCGTAATACTGGATGGTTGAGGCGTGACGGAAGTAAAGTATTCCCCGAGGATCATCATCATCTTACATTTGACAGGTGCGAATGGTGTGCCAAGCATTCTCAGATCTCTGTTCAATGCGTTCAAAAGACCCTCCATTTTCTAAGCGTCTTCACCCAGTAGAACAATATCATCTGTTTACTGCCAGTCACCAGATGGCTTCCAGGAAGCAGGTCAATCGTATAAAGTCAGAGGTTCCTTAGGTTATCACCACTGATACATCTATAAGTTAAGCGGTAACAGTGACAGCGCATATCGGTGACGGATGCTACCCCTTTTTGTCAAATCATATGACAACTCTCCATTAGCTCTTTTGTGACTGGCTAAGTTAGAGTAGAGAGCGTTGGTTAGCTTTATATACTTCCTTGGTACTCTTTTAGCAATCAGACACTGCCGAAACACTTCGCATAGTTGAATGCTTCCTTCAGGTCAAGAAATATTGCAGGTGTGGGTTGCCGGTAAGTATGCCTGTGTTCTATAACCTATCGAAGGGTGAAAGTGTAATTGATGCACACTCATCCAGGTCTAAAGTCTACCTGATTTTATCGAGTTTGGTATGTAGATCATACTGCTATAAGCTGTCGTTGGAAAGAATCGGTGAGGGATTGTCACTTTTTCCGGATTAGCTGTTTGGACTCCGAACATACGTTATTATGGGTACATGTGTCCCCATGCCTTACTGGTCGCAGAAAACATGCGGCAGTTGAGCCTGTGCGTGCTTGGTTAGAAGATGGGAAAAACAAAGTACGTATTTAGAGAGGAGACAACTAAGGATTTATCTGAACATGACAGCAATTATCACCCTGGAGGATGCTGGTGGGATATTCCGCGTAGTGTTGGAAAATCGGTAAAGACAATTGGTAACCTGCATCCAATGGTTACCTAACGTCAGTGAAATTCCACAATGTCATATGAACAAATTGATGCAGGAGGACTCATCTCCCATGGCTCTGACCAGAATGAGAGGCGCAAAAACTTAAACAGTTGGTCAAGAGTCTTCACTGCAATCATAAACAGTAGTGGGTGACGAGTGCGAGAGAGACGAAAAAGGCACCAGCATTTATGTTGGAAGACCTTAGTTTTGCATGAGATGTTTAAAAATCTAAACGTCTTTTTAAAATTGTTGGTTTCACGCCATTTGTTACGGGATTAGCAGTATTTCATTTTCTGCCCCCGTTTTCAAGGTAATTTGCTGATTGGTTAATTCCTACTTTTGCTGTGTTAATGTCTCAATTTCTGCACAAGGTCATATCTCATGTGTATACATACACACGTATGTTTGAGTTAATGGATTTTTATTCTCAGAGAAATAAACTTTCCCATCCAGTTCACTCTTCTTCTTTATTCGTCCCGGGTTGGGGGCGATGGTTTCTGCGTACGCAGCTAGCTATCGGTTAGGCATGCGTATTATATCCTCTCGGAATATATAGCAATTCAGTTTTACCTGGCAATTATTTAAGCTTATTAAGGATACTGTCAAGATGACGATGGTGAGTGAGATCGTCACCGAAAAGGATGTTACTCTGATAACGTCTCAGGTCAGATAACTAGAACATTGAGCAGGACACTTTGACGCTCACTTCAGCTGGCCCACGGCAGCACTTCAGTTGTTCAGCATCCATTCCAAACCGTAGTGGGCTGAGATGTCAGTCTTCCATCTCTCCTCGAAGTTGAAAAAGCTTTTTGAATAATATAAGAGTAAAACTCATGCACGATGGTAGAATGTAATTCCATTTTAATTGATTTATTAGATTTATCACACAGTGTTGCAGTATTGTTTATTGGATATAACTATGGATTTGGACAATAAGTTATGTGTGAAACGTAGTCCAGTAAACAACACTTTCATACTGTGATAAATCTAATAAATCAATTAAAAAAAGGGTTTTTCAAACGTGAAACAATGTAAGGCAGCAGGGTCTGCAGTCTTTTCAAGGAAGAAGGTATGGGAAGACTGTACAGAATAATGGAGGTACTAGGTGGTGTATGGGAATCAGAAGCAGTCTCTTGAGACTGGTCTCCCTGACTGATCATTCCAGACTATAAAAAGAGCAGTTATACATGCACTAATGGATATAACTCAAGGTGCCTCTAACTTCACATGGGTTGGTCTATTCTTTGGAGACCATATGGTTGACTAGGAGTACGCAGGTGATATTGTCCTGCTGGGTGAAGACACTTACAAAATGCCGGGTTTTCCTAAGACATTGAGTAGAAATCTAAGTTTGTTTGTCATGAGTTTCTCTGGCACCTGTCAAATGTAAGATGATACTCTAGGATTGATCTGCTGCAAGTACTCCCAGTTTAATGATAGCAAGTGAAGTGGTGGAATGTATCGACCACCTCACTTACTTGGGGAGTTGCATCAGCCCAAACTGGTTGCTGACGAAATCTCAGCTCGGGTACAGAAGGCTTGTTTGTATTTTCAAACTTCCTTCATCTGTGGCACTGACTGACGAGATATCCAGCCATCTATCAAAAGACGAGTAAACTACCCTGCAATCCGTTTTGTCCTGTTATATGTCTATGAGACATGGCCGTTGAAGGTAAAAGATATGAAGAGACTACAGGTTTCTCACCATAGGTGTCTTCGTAGAATTGCTCGCGTATATTGGGACCACCATGTTAGCAATGTCGAGGTTAGGCAATGGTCAGAAGTTGATGATAGTGAGAGCACATATGTAGTAGTCGGTCTTCGTTTTTCTTTCGTTCGTTCGAAATTCTGGAAGCGTTATCTAAGGGACATTTTGCCTGACATAGCCTCCTCGCTTGTGCATTCAAATCGCGCACTACGCCAACCATATCTGAAAGTTTGTCTTTTAGTTGCAGGGTAAATAGTTTTGGTACAACTCATGCTTCACTTCATCTCACATGCTGTCTCTGGGTGGGTAAGCAGAAGTTACAGAGAGACAATGAGGTGTTTCGTCATTCTGCTTGTCTTCATCACATCACTCTACTGAGCAGTGCATTTTCTGCCTTACTACTTAGTAATATGCTGAAACCTTCACTGTGGCGATAACTTACTGAGAAATCTGCACTCATTCTTTGAGTGAATTTTGTAGGTTATTTTTGGTTATGGAGTTATGTAGTTTTTTCGGCCTTTTTGGATATCTATCTTCGTTTCGTTATCTTACCACATAGTAATCCTGCTCACTACAATGAGGCTTACTGGTCCGTTTGATGGTGTGTTCTCTGAGCTTTAATATTTTGTCGTGAACGTTTCCTCACCAGGTTTGTTGACGTCTTCAGCACTAACTTCATAAAGAAGGATGTAGAAATAGTAAAGCATCTTTAATGTGTTTTTACTTAAGTGACACCAAATTCACTTCATTCACCTTCATGCAGACAGAGTTTCTTGAGAAACCTATGCTTTTATGATTTATTTGAACTCCTATTGATATTATTACACCTCTTTTTTGTTTTTTTCTTACCAAAGTCAGCTTGTTCGGGTAGCAAAACAGAAATAGTTAAAGTTCCACAGACTACCAGTCACATTCAATTGCGCAACTTGTACCACAGAAGAAAATTGGCTGATGAATCAAATATTAACAACCATCTGGATGACAGTAGTCATAAAGACCAACCTTCGTCTCCCCCGAAAACAATGGGAGAAGACAGTTCAAAACGTGTTACTGCCGAACCTGATTGCGGTCAGCGTCCCACTTTAATTACTGCTTCAAATTATTTAAAATCTGATCCGTGCGATACAAATACTATTCAGCGGTAATTTTCTTTTTTTTACTGGGCTTATTCCGTGTACTTATGATCGCTAAATTACTTGCTTAGTGTGTATGCGCTAATTAAGGTTATAAGCGAATAGATTTCATTTTGCTTTTTGACTGATCTTGTTTTCAGTGAAGTGAAAAGTATTTACAGTTATTATCATTTGTTTGTTCTCAACGCCTTTACGATTGTCTCTAATTCAGGGTTACTAATGCGCATACATCAGGTAATTTGTAGTCTGTACAATTCAAAAAAGACTGATATGCTGTCTGATCACAGCGTATCCATCAACGACTTTTCCTAATGTGAATGTAATCCATTTTTTCTTACATGTTTATTCCTAAAGGCCTTTTTCAGAATAACGCTTTTGGAGTTAAAGAAGATCTCAGCAGCTGGTATAAACTTTCTGTTGGTGATTGTGTTGCTAAGAAATTAACTTTTTCAAATTTAAGTTATCAGTTGATGTTTATACCAAGGTGATTATGTTGGAAGGCCCTAGATTTGCATAAAATATTGTTTTTTTAATCTAGAGATTTTTAAAACCTTTTCCACGCCATTTTTTACGGCATGGCCAGTAATCCAGTTTTGCTCCTATTTTCAAGGTAATTCGCTGATTGGTTAATGCTCACTTTTACCATGTTAAAGTCTCAATTTCTGGACAAGGTCATATCTCATTTATATATATGCATACGTTTTTTTGTGAGTTAATTTAATATTCTTCTTGGAGAAATGCATTTTCTCACCCTGCTCACTCTCCTTTATTTCGTTCCAAGTCGGCGTCGGTGGATCTTGCCTACAAAGTTAGCTGTCAGACGTGCATATTATCTCCTCTCAGAATATATGACAGGTTTCTGTAACTTAGAGTAACTTTGCATCTCCTCAGTTTATTCAATCTCTTCAAATTTACTCATTTAATTATCATTTTGTGGTCGTTTTTCCAGTGATCAGTCGACCATTATCAACAGAAAATCTAGCGTAGTTGCATTACCTTTCAATTTTCGTGAATACCCATTCTTCTGAAAAATATGCCACCTCACTGAAGAATGTCAGTCAAATTCACTGTTGATCGAAACGTTACCCTTGTAAATTAACAAACAGAAAGTATCCCAGATTACAAACAGAGGTTGGAAACAGCATCTCTGTAGCTCACAAACCTAGAAAATCCCTTCACTTCATTTATACCATCCAAAAGACACAATGGCAGAGGAGACAAGTCCAACGTTGTCTACAAAATAAGGTGCAGGAACTGCGAACAGCACTATATCGAACTGAGTGGTCGCCTTCTTATTATCCGTCTACATAAACATCAACTAGGGGTGAAACGTCATGATATATCTTCACTTATATCAATGCAAATCGACAACTTTGGACTGAGGAAATGTGGTAATCTTGAATAGAGGAAATAAGAAAAACCTCAGCGATCGACAGATATATTGGCAGTGACTCAACCCACCAATCGAGAAGAGACACCAAGAAAGCCAATGTTCATGTCAGCACGACAGCCAATCGTAATATATATGTGGACAATGACAAGATCTTACCACAGACAACCAATCACACCGAAGGTCATCGGGACAAGTACTAAACCGCTTATGGATAAAATCTCGTAGCTCATTTCGTTCCGAAGTTTACGTTGAATAAAAATGGAAGCTTCATGGTTAAACCATCCGGCACAGAGAACAAAATACTGTCAAAAGTTGAAGTAATGTTAATTTTCTATTGGCTACAGCGTGATCAGGTGAGGTGACACGCAAAAACCTCAGAATCCCAATATTTTATCTAGCGAGATTTATTGACTAAGAAGCTCTATAAATAAATTAAAACCAAGATTGCGCAAAGGTTACCTTCATTTATGGTCCTATCCTATGAGAAAATTGTTGAATCGCCAGATGCAAACAGAAGGAAAATTCAACCGAAACTAAAACCTACTGAAATAATCTACAAACAGTTTATTAAAGGAAAGGAGAGGTCACTGCACTAAAGAACAAATTGACCAAGTTGGCGGAACTAGATCGTATAAAGAATGAATTACAATGACCAGTAACTAATCAGAAAAATTCAACATATAAAAAGGGGGTAAAATAAGACAAAATATGAATAATACATAAACAAGTACAAGTAGAAAATGTTAATCATAAAGGAGGGAGTGTCTTGGTAATAGGGTTGTATTAAAAATGCACCGTGTTGGGGCACAACAGACAAGCAGTACGGATTCAACGAAGGGTTTAAAACGAGTGACTAAATGTAATATAGCTGCTAGGATTGAGATTAGGCGTATATGGATCCGCACCACTGTGATCGTTTCAGATTCGTATCACCTCAAATCTTCGACCGTGAATTTCCATTGTCCCGAAGACCTTAATCTAGTAACCTTAATTTCCCTACCCTCAATCATTTTCCAACCCCGACCTACTTTTCCTATTGAACGTAAATGAAGATTCAACTTCACTAACACGTGTCCCAAGCACCTTTGTTTCTTTTATGCTGCATAACTAATATTATGGCGTAGACAAAAAATAGGCTATAAAAGCAATAGAGGTCAGTTTCTTGAAATCTTTCATAACCTCCAGTTTCACTGAACATGTTTTGCAACCTCAGTCAAAAACAGTGTACTGCCGTTCACTACGCGTGTTTGAACTCTGGGATCACTTATCCTTACTAGCGTAACTCTTCCCGGTAACTCCAAGCTGACCTACGGTGTGGGTAGCTTAGAAGTATCACCTAGTTCTGTCTTTTAGATTCCTTAAATGCTTTCGGTTTATTATCAACCTTCTTCCTTTTCCTCTCAATTCTCTCCACCTGTCTGCTAGTAAGTCTTCCTCATTTTTTAACTTTTCCAGTTTCAATTCTTGATGACTATTCAAGTTCACAAAGCACTATACCTTGTCTCTTGAAAACACCAAATAACATTTCGGTGCTTTTAGTGTTCTCACCCTCCATCAAATCAGACAACAAGCTTCTCTACCTAAAACTGTCCTCTTGGGTCACGAATGTGTGCTGTGTTTGTGAGACATACTCACAAGAACCAAGTGTGGCCATCCACTTGACCTAACCTGATGATTGATAGTGTATTCCTGTGAAATTCACTATTTGGTTGTTTGGAAATTCAATGGTCAGTCTTTGGGATGTTTCAGGTGTGAGTATATCGCAGTCATAAGGCAGGAAGTGTACTGATTTACTGGATCCCAGTTGACACTTGGTTTTGCGTTACTCTACTGATTGGTACAGTGAGGATAAAGAGTGGCGACGCAAGCTGTTGTCTCTCTGTAACTTCTGCTTGCGCACCCATTGACAGCATTTTGGATGAGGTAAACGATGAGTTGCACCGACAGCTACTGAAAGCGAAACATTCTGATCTGATTGTGGCAACGGGTGCTTTCAATGCACGAGTGGGTAGGCTATATCAAACAGAACGACACTTCGGCGATGACTGGAAAGTGTTGGTGATGTCTTTAAATCAGTGAATCGTTAGTGCAGATGCATTGACGCCTAATCTTTTTCCAAATCATAACCGTCTAATTTCCTTTTCTTTTCCTCATAATCTTATTGGTTTCTACGATTGCAAATGGTAACGCTGTTGTTTTTCTTGTTGTTAGATTCTGACGCTTGATATGTTGTGAAGTATCGCAACTTTAATTGATATGCTATTATGCCTTTATATTATTTCTACTGGTTTACAATATTCATTTGTTTGCTATCTTATTTTAGTTTCTCGTAAAAGTAGTGGCTGAGTCTTTGCTTTTGTTAAGTTATTTACATATTTTGCCAATGTAAACATTTTATCTTCATTGTTTGTCTACAGAAAACATACTACAAGAAGGAGAAGTTCCTGTTCATCACCTTTAGGCAAGGAATTCCAGTCTGATCACGTTGATAAATTCGCCACATGTAGCTCTCCAAAGAGATCAAAACAAAGCTCGAGAAGAAAATCAAAGCGGTTAATCAATCTAGTCAGTCCAGTTAGTCCACTTCCTAGAGGTATGAAATCCTATACTTTCTGCATATTCTTTAAAAATAACTCACTAACGTTATCTAAAAAGTGTATGACACACATCTTTTTCTGCATGATGTTTCAGGCGAGGACATATCACTTGTTTAATGTCTCCTGTTATCGATCAAAACTGACTTTAGTCATATTGAAAGTTCACATCGTGTAAATTAGACCGAAACATCTGAGAAAATGGTATTGTTAAGTGATTGGCTTCACTACATATATTAAGGACTAGTAAATTTCTGCAATATCAACTGAGCTGATTAATTAGCAGAGAATTATTCCCAATGAGGGAAAAAATCAACGTACACCAAAAGCATTATATAAAGTAGTAACAGAGAGGAAGGAGGAATGAGAAGTTGCTGAACACAGCATAGCATTTAAGATTAAGACAAAGTATCGGTATATCTGCTCCACTGACATCGATTCTGTGCCACATCACCTAGAGCCTCTAACCTCTGGTTCCTGTTTTCACGTGGCTCCCAACTGGCTAGTCTGCATCTCTCAACATGACTCAAACCAACAGTGATACCATTTTTTAGTCTATGAAGGCAACGGTGGTCAAACGTACCTAAAGTCTTCGCATGTTCTCTACTTTACATCGACATGTTTCAAAGTCACAGTAGAACAGAGCGAACTGTAGGGTAGTAAGCTCTACCATTAATAGGCAATCGTATATCTCATCGGCAGCTCAACATATGGCGTAAGTGTTCAACACGCTCAACCACTTCACTCTCTGTTGTTGGCCGAGGCATTGTTGAAGGTCAGTTCTGGAGCAACAATTTGCATTTGAGTGGCAAAAAGACTCATCCCAAATATTCTCAAATTAGAACTCAAGGTGTCCAGAAGACTCTGCATCTTGTTAGCGTCTTCACCTAACCGAACTATGTCATCTACATATTTTAGATCAGCTAAAGTTTCTCCTGTGGTTAGATCTATCCCTGTTGTGTCAGATGACGGGAAGGAGACCTTCATAAGAAAACCTATGACAGACAACATCTATGATCAGGAATGGAGAGAATTAGCATGCTTGACGGACATCATTGTATGTAAACAACTCACCTGACGAGTCACCATAGGCTCTAACACGCCCACGAATGTGCGAGCAAAGAGCTTTTAACAAAGTGATGTATGAAACGTAGCGACAAAAGGCAGCCAATAGAGTTGTTTTCGGATCATGATTTATTCATGCACTAACATGAGAACCTGATTGGAGAAATTCAACGTCATACAGCAAATCGGATTGGTTCATTTATGGCTTCATTTTCTGAGAGTTTTTTAAATATGTATATATCATGTATTTGCCTAATAAGAGTTGTCGTTGTTCTTGCAGTCACAGACCGTCTTTATTTTCTGATTTTTCGGGGTTCAGTGAAGCAGAAGGTACTGAGAGAGGTCAGTGGTAAAAGTATTTGGTTGAGGTGTCTATTGAGTCTCAGTATCATTATACCTACGCCTGTAATCCTACTCGGTCACAACGATATATTTATTCGGTACCCCTTCCAATGAGAGACATTGCCATAAAACGTCTGGATCGATGTAGTCTAACGCCACCTCCAGGTCGTGAGATACATCTGAAGCCTACGTTTCTGGTCTCCTGGGGTTTAATATTTCCGAGCTCCACTCTAACATCTTATGATTATATAACCTAGAGTCATCGACACTATTCGTCAGGCTGGTTCCTTTTTGGTTATCACCTTTCTTGAAGACTGGGACGATCGGTGACTGAGACCAGTTATTGGGAACTTTATCTGACTCCCACACACTAGTTAACACTTAAGTTAACTTGACTAAAATTTTTTTACCGCCGTCCTACATAACATGTTCAGGTATCTTAGTCGATGAAGGCTCACAACCTCGTCAAATGACTTACCTTTTTCGCCCGGAACTTTTTGCGTAACTTGTGCATTACTGATCTGTTGATACCATCATACATGGTTTGTGCTACCAAGGCAACGTTGGTCGAGCACTTGAAGCATCCTCGTGTTTCGAACCGTTAATGGCCATGTTTGAATCGGTTTTTGAGTTAAGGAATACCAGTTTGTCTATGAGGTTGTAGACCTTCAACGACTAAGTTAAATAAAACTTACCATGCACTAAAACTGCCACTTACTTTTTTGCTCATTGTTTCCCAAAGTTGGATTCAGTATGTTGAAAGCTTAGGGTCATGAGAGCAAAACATCACACCTATTTGTTTGGTTTTCGACTTTTGTTTGGGTCTGTGTAGGTAAGTGTAGGCTGGCTGGCTTAACGTCTCGTGAAGATAAGAATCAGTGGATTGAACTTTTTATTGACTTAACTGTGAAAATCGGTCACAACTGGATAGATAAAAGCGCTCATGTCATCTTCGAAGTGTTCAGTATTTTCAGTGATTGTCATCAATTTATCCTTTTTACTGCTATACTTTTATCTATGAAAGGTAGAGGGCGATACAGGAGATATAGACTGTAGGATGAGGTCCATTTATAGCACTTAGCAATAATTTGAGGTGTGTGGGTATATGTTTGTTGTATCACAGCAGATACACTCGCATACTGGGATTTACTTTCTTCTTTACTGAAACTTCATTCATTTATCAATTTTAAATGCATTTTTTATCCGACATTTATAGTTTTCTTTTTCATGATGCTTCAAAAAAAGAAGCAAAAATCGATGTGATTCCACCCGTTTTGTTATTATTGCATTAATTTTTATGTTACGAAATATTAGTTTACGGATTATTATTTGTACGCAGCTAAGGATTTTCGATACAGATTTCGACTACCAAATATTACAGAGATACTCCCGAAAATTGTCATAATTTGGAACTATGAAAGGGAAATTACTCAATGATCTATTCACTGAAGTACTCTTCCCTCTTTCATATCCATATGAGTTTTAGCAGATTATTGTCATAAAGTGTGCTGTTTAACTTTTTAGCAAAACTTTTAAAGAGCAACAGACGCAGAGTTCTTAAATTTTATTCATTAAAACACTTCAAACTTTAATTAGGAATGACTCAACTTCTTTACTTATCTAGATGCATACACTGATTAGTACTTATCCAAAGTGTGACTGCTTGAAGTGTGCATTTTTCTATTTCCGTAGAATCTGATGATAACGCATCTAAGTGTTTTACAAATGGGGATTGCTATCGGGATTTACAAATGCTCTTGAAATTACAAAATGAACCTATTCCCCTGAACTTTGGCAGGACCCTACTGGTCGACCTGTTTCAGTTCATGATTTTATCGACTTTGTATGCTTCCATGGTAAGTATATATAACATCCTGTTCTATATAGGTGAAAGCTTTTTTATGAGTATTATTGTTTAGTAGGTGATTAAAAGCTGTTTTTTGAAATAGTTTTGGAGAAAAACTGAAGCCACTTCTTAATAACTAAAGAAAGATTATAGCTGTATATTGAAAATTATAGCCAAAAGTTTTCTATTACACGCGGAATAATCCATACAGTTCAATATATCACTTATAACTTTCTGTTTTTATTTCGGAGTTAGTGGAATGAACGGTTTTTAGCTCGAATTACATCCATGTTTTCTAGCGTAGATGAAAGTCTATAAATTTGTTTGGTTTTCATCAAGCATTTCAGTCTTATTAGCCTCAGTCCGATGTGTACTAACTTTATGAAATTTTTGCTGTATTGCTCATTATTTAGGTCTAGTTGTAAAACATAGTTTCTTTCAAGGAATATGGATGTGTTTAGTCTCACAGAAATCCAGCAAAATATTTTAGATCTTGTCTAATAATCCAATTAGTATTGGGGGTACTAAGTATTAGCTTGTATTTGCGGCTAGAAAGATTCATAGAATAACTATATCTTTGTGTAGCCGTTGCGCATCCTCACCTGTGTTACTTCATCATTGGATAGTATCATGGATCGGGTTTTTCATTTCACCTCTAAATCAGTCGATGAAAATCGAGAATTTTATAAACCTAATAATAAGCACTACCCCACCATTTCTCATTTGTTGACCGCATCGCACGTGAACACTGCGTTTTATTTACCTAGTAATTTACACGTTTTGAGTGAGTAAAAGAAAACTAAACTAAACTCTTTGTATCAAGATGCCTCCACTTTGTGAGGCACTGTGATCTACGATAGTTTGCATTTGGTCTGGTTTCAAAAGTTCCATACAGAAGACAAGCTGTACGAAGAAGCATTTTAAAATATCAGCTTCTTATCATGCGTGGCTTTGCGTCAAAATTTTTTTCATTCCAACTCATTGGATTCGACTCAATTTTCGTCTTCTTTTTCTACCATTACATATTCATTTCTCTGCTCTACTACATTATATATTAACATTACTTCGAACAATTATTTCAACTGCTTATAAAAATGCACTGAAGGCCTGTCAAACTATTTCCTTCAATAACTTTGCTATTCCTTCATGATCACGTCACTGCCCGACTTTCAAATGTGTTGAAGTTTTGCTTGGCTGTGGCCAGCAGAAGAATCCAGGGCGCGCGTCTTGTCCTATGTGGGACTCGTCTGTTGAATGTACCTTCAACCCGGTGAGTGATGTTGTTCCCACTGAGATTCGAACCTCGTATCTATCGCTTCAAACACCAAGGTGTTACTCACCATGCTGCGGCGGCACGATAGCCACTTCTTGTACAACGGGTAGTAGTTATTACTATTTATTGACATACTTGTTATTCTCCACTGTTTTATTGGATCAAACTATTCGACCTCTATTGGGATATGGGCTTCTATGCAAATACCTCGATATTGCCTAAATATTAATTATGATAATTTGCTTGGTTGTGGCTAGCGGAAGAATCCAGGACGCACATTTCGTTCTGTTTGGGACTCGCGTCCTGGGTTCTTCTGCTAGCCACAACCAAGCAAATCATCATAATTAACATTTAGGCAATACCGAGGTATTTGCATAGGAGCCCGTATCCCAATAGAGGTCGAACAATTCGACCCAATAAAACAACGGAGAATAACAAGTCTATCAATAAATAGTGTTGATATTTGTTTTAAATTTTAGTTTTGTTAGCTTGTACACATTCCATCTTATCTACAAGTCTGTTCGATCTAGCTTTATTCCAGCTTGTTATTGTACTGTTATTTGTTAAGGGACTAGTATTATTAACATCCAAACTATAGTTGTTACGAATGTTTAGAAAATCAAAACAAAATATTTCTGAACGTTTCTTCGTGTAAGCCACAGCTTCTTCAGTGGAATATCTGTAGTAAGTGGATAAACTGTAAAAACATTTATTCTTTTGGCTCTGTCATACTTGGAGAACCCAAGATTGTCCTTTGATTACTATTGTTCCCAAAAGATGTTCGTGTGTAATGGGGGGTTGGTGGGCTACCTATACGAACTATAGGTTTACAAGGACTGGAATTTATTGGAGCTTCTTATATTCTTGAAGTCACGTGTTCTAATTGGGTTTCCTTGCTGTTAGATAATATTTGGTAGTTAAAGCGTATCAGAAAAAGACGTGGTAGCAATGACAGAGGCCTCTACGTGTGCATTAAACTGAGAACCAGGTCCAAAAGTTATTTAGACTTATCACTTAGAGATAAATAACGATAAATCTGTAGACTGGTACTAATAAATTAATCTGGTATTCTTCCTTTTCTTAGTGGTAATCTGTTGATTTCATTCGACACAAGACAGCCGCCAACAAATGTACCACAGAAAATGATATAACATCATAAAGAAATACAAGGAGGGAAGAAAAAGAAATAATGAGTAATTAGAGAAAGGATTCTGTAGCGTAAATTGAGTTGGATGATTTGATCACTTTTAAAAAATAAAGGACGCAATTTTGTGATTTTACTGCTTATCTGTAACTGAAACCAGATTAAAAGGTTGTGTTATCTCTTGACTAAAACAAGTATGTGGCATCATATTAGCAGTTGCCAGCGTAATTCTACCAACCTCAGTTCCATGTGACGAACTGGTTTATCAGTCAACTCCGTGACTGGCGAGCAGTGAAGGGTATGGAAGCCGCTGAAACATTTTGCTGAATAATACAAATACAGTGGACACGTAATAGCTAACAGGCTAATATCCTGATGAATTTCACTTTCATTACGTAGACTCATTTTAACGATGTCGCAGCAGTTACACACTTTGAGAGTACGTCATAGGTTTTCGAACAGTCTAATCTGCAAACCAACAAAAAAATTGACTATCCCCTTTAAAAACAATGAGACCTTTGGTGACTGATCTTTGCACTCGGCTGTCAACCAGTGGATTATGCTGTCGAATCCCACTCCACCTGTGAAATTTGGGCAACAGGGTAGTATCGTTAGTCTTCACACAATAGGTGTCGCTCATTTCTTGTTCCACGGATATGTGCATAAGGTTGCTGATGAATAACTGAACATAGAGGTTGGAATGTAATAATGTTACCTCATAAATCACCCAGTAACGCGTTACAATGATACTGACCCTTTTTTAAGCACTTGGATTCCAGACAAGAAATATATATTCTGGATGTAGTAAAAATGTTTTTGCAGTAAAATATGTATGCTAAACCTAGTTACAGACCTTCAACTTTACGACTTCTACAGTTTACGACCGAAACAGTATATTAGTGTACAACTAAGCGATTATTTGATCAGGATGTTTTTAAGCATTACGAGAATAAAAAACCAACATACAGGCAATAACAAAAAGTAGTCTTGGTTTATTACCACGGAGTTGGTGTATACACCTTGAAATGTTTATTGCAATTGTTTGTTTTAAGATTGAGATACTGCATGCATGCCTGAAATGAACTCATCACTTTTAAAAGGCAATTATCTGAGGGTTTGACTCTCGTGTAATACACTAGGCACCATAACAACACCCACAGTTATGCTTCTGTGGTTGTCAAAGTCATCTATCGGCTCATACGGTCTTTAATCTTTCAAAGTTTGAAGTGCTGTGTATCGTTGCCTTTCAATCAAGGCTTTTCAACTTCATCAACGCAAGAAGAATGACATTTTCAGAATAATTTGAGTTCATATTTACTTCGCGACGCCTACTCAACTGCAGACAGCCTTAAACGAATACGGAAATAGGATGGCATAATCATCATCATCTATCAACATAGGACCAGGTATTACCGCGTAGCGGTCCAAGTTGCCACACCTCATATCAGTACATCAAGTAAAAAGGCAGTGAGGCGCAAGATGAAGATAAGAAAATTCAGTCACAAGAAATATAAACTACCAAAGGAGAGAAAAACCTCGCCTGGTTAACTAGTTCACTAGTTACTAGCCGGTCCTAAGCCCGGGTAAAGAGGGAAGGTTGGGCATACGGCTAGCAACCCTACCCCGTAAAACAAATCTAACCGCTAAAGAAACTTCAAAGCACAAACGATACATAAAAAATAATAACAGAATTATTCCTCTCTGGAATCGGAGAGGCGAAATGACGCCAGTTGGTGAAAGCCTTCGGGAAGCCAATTGACCGGGCCGATGTGTCTTCTCTCCCTCGATGAAAGCGAAAGTAAACGTGGGGACATGGATGGAATGTCCGCACCATGTTTGAACCTAGCAAGGCAGTCCAGATTGCAAACGAGATGAAGAGGTATCACATTGAAGTGCTTGGAATTTGCCAAAGCAGATGGAATGGGAGTGGACTCTCCAAACTGTCAACTGGAGAATCAATAATCTACTCCGATATTGTCACCCAGACGACAACCACAAGCACAGCACACTGAGTTTCCGAGTGGCTATCATGATGTCCCCTTGAAGAGCATCGAAGGCTCTCTCTCATCCAGTGGGAACCAATCTCCTCAACGATCAGGATCATGACAGCAAGGTTCAACTCAAAAGGAAGGAAGGTCACAATCATACAATGCTACGCTATGCACCTACAAATAATGCAGAGCAAGAGAAAAAGGAGGAATTCTACAGACAACTGCAATCAACACTGGACAAGAAACCACTCCAGTTGGCGATATCAAAACTCATTCTAATGGGCAGGGTGACATGAATGCCAAACTGGGAGGGGACAACACAGGAAGAGAACTAACCATGGGTCGAGAAGCGCTCAGTGAGGTGATGAACGACAATGGAGAATTGTTTGCAGAATTCTGTGCATTCAACGATTTGGTGATTGGAGGCGAGGCAGTGTGTTCAAGCACAAGGATATCCACAAAGCGACATGGATTCAATTTCACCAGACACCAGGACACACTAAAAATCAAATCAACTTCATCTCAATCTCAAGAAAATGGAGACGCAGTCAGCCTACTTGACACAAGGTCAAGAAGAGGAGCAGATGTAGGTTCACACCACT